CTTGAAACTGAGCTTAAAGCTTAGTTCACTGAGCTTCTAATCTCTCTGGTTTTTTAGAGTGTTTAAGGAACAATGGATTCCGGGTCGGGTTTGGATCCGGATTATAGTAAGGGCAAAGGAAGTGGTGGTAATGGAGAGAGAAAGTTTGGTGCTTTCTTAAAGAGAGTAGAACCATTTTTACCCAAAAAGGATTTGAATCCGAGAGACTTAAGATCTTGGGCTAAAAAAACTGGCTTTGTCTCCGGTGAAACCAGCACCAAGCTCGGCGAAAGTTCTAATTTTGATCAAATCGAACCGATTCTGGGTCGAGATAGACCGAAGAGAGGATCCGGTATCGAACATGTAACCGGATCTGGGTCCGGGTACAAATCGGGTCATGGAGAGGACATGGTTGAGTCACTGTCGGAAACGGCGGAGATAGAGAATGAAGGCGGGAAAATCAATAGGGATTTGGAAAATGGGTTTTATCATTATCCAGGTGGTCGTGAATCAGAAGATGGAGAATGGCCTAAACCTATTGTAATGAAGTTTGGTCTCAGAGACAATCCTGGTTTTGGTTAGTTTGATTTTGTTCGGGTTCTTGTAGTAAATCAGGAAGATTCTATGAACACATGTTGAGGAAGATTCTTTCTTTTTTGTTGTTGTCTGTTTTTTGAAATGCAGTTCCACTTATCTATTACGGTTTGCAACATTATATGTCACTTGCTGGTTCACTTGTGCTTATACCTCTAGTCATTGTACCAGCCATGGATGGTTCCGATGTAAGCTTTTTCTTCTTCAATGGATGTGAAAAGCTTCTTTTTTTTTGTTCTTGATTGGTTTTTCTATATGATGATGATTAGAAAGATACTGCCGCGGTGATTTCGACAATGCTGCTACTTACTGGAATTACAACTATACTTCACTCTTATTTCGGTACTCGGCTTCCGTTGGTACAAGGAAGCTCTTTTGTTTACTTGGCCCCGACTTTGGTTGTTATCAACTCTGAGGAGTTCAGGAACCTCAGTGAGAATGTAAGTCTGCAAATGTAATCGAAAACAAATGAGAATGTAAGTCTGCAAATATAAGGGATTTGATTTCTTGGAAACTTTGTGATAAAACCGGTGTTTTCGATTGTAGAAATTCCGGGGCATTATGAGAGAACTACAGGGGGCGATAATTGTCGGTTCATTATTCCAGTGTATACTGGGATTTAGTGGTCTCATGTCACTCTTACTTAGGTAAATTTCGAGAAAACAGCGGTTTTCTTTCTTTGTTTAGTAATGCTCATAGATATCTGATTTTTCCGTCCAATCATTTGTTTTCTTAAACTTTGATTTCAGATTCATTAATCCTGTCGTAGTTGCTCCAACCGTAGCTGCAGTAGGATTAGCATTCTTTAGCTATGGATTCCCGCAAGCCGGCACTTGTGTTGAGATCAGCATTCCCTTACTATTCTTGCTTCTTATTTTCACATTGGTAAGAATTTGCATCAAGCTTGAATCATAGAAGCTTTTTTACATCTCTCTAATAAGGAATCTGCTTTCAGTATCTTCGCGGAGTTTCACTCTTTGGGCATCGCTTATTCCGAATTTACGCGGTATGTATTTATTCTTTGAGTATATGGAGCTAAAGTTTCAATTTTTTTCCGGAAAATCTAACTCAAACCAAATGCTTGCTGTTGTTACTGCTAGGTGCCACTGAGTGCTCTGATCATATGGACATATGCATTCTTTTTAACTGTTGGTGGGGCATATGACTACAAAGGTTGCAACGCCGACATACCAAGCTCTAACATATTGATTAATGAATGTAAGAAGCATACGTATACTATGAAGCATTGCAGAACAGATGCTTCAAATGCTTGGAAAACTGCTCCTTGGGTCAGAATCCCTTACCCATTTCAATGGGGATTTCCAAATTTTCACATGAGAACTTCTATCATTATGATCTTTGTGTCTTTGGTTGCATCAGTGGATTCGGTAGGTATTCATTCGTCTTTGCACTCCTTTTGTTTCCCCTAATCGTGGGATCTTACTGCTAAATGTTTAGAATTTGTAACACTTGTAGGTTGGAACATATCATTCTACATCTATGTTAGTGAATGCGAAGCGCCCGACACGGGGAATTGTCAGTAGAGGTGTTGCATTAGAAGGCTTTTGCAGTTTATTGGCTGGAATCTGGGGTTCGGGTACTGGATCAACAACTTTAACCGAAAATATTCATACGATCAACATCACCAAGGTGGCTAGCCGAAGAGCTTTGGTGATCGGAGCTATGTTCTTAATAGTTTTATCATTTGTGGGTAAGCATCATGCAATGAATGATCCAAAAGTGTAAATCTTTGCCATATCATTTAATCCATTTTGTAAATTCCTTAAATCTGACAGGAAAATTAGGCGCGATTCTTGCCTCAATACCACAGGCTTTGGCTGCTTCAGTATTATGCTTCATATGGGCACTTACAGTGGCTTTAGGTCTATCGAATCTTCGGTATACACAAACAGCAAGCTTTAGGAACATAACAATAGTTGGAGTCTCACTGTTTCTTGGATTATCCATCCCTGCTTATTTCCAGCAGTACCAGCCGCTAACAACTCTTATACTACCGAGCTATTACCTGCCCTTTGGAGCCGCGTCAAGTGGACCTTTCCAAACGGGTATCGAGCAAGTAAGCCACTTTCCTTCTCTTTCCTTGATTAGCATTTTCCTGGACAATGACCGAGTGACTCTCTTCTTATGCAAACTGCAGCTAGATTTCGCGATGAACGCCGTGCTTTCTCTGAATATGGTTGTAACATTTCTACTGGCTTTCGTATTGGACAACACTGTACCGGGTAGTAAGGAAGAGCGAGGAGTTTATGTGTGGTCACGAGTCGAAGACATGGAGATAGACCCTGAGATGCAAGCTGATTACTCATTACCAAGAAGAATTACTCAGTTTTTCGGTTGCAGATGTTGCTAGTAGATGTTTAAGCTCCAGTTTCATTTTTTCAATAGCTTACACAGAGAGTAGAGACTCCACATGTTCTTAATATATAGAAGAAAATGTTCTCATGAAAAGAATTGCAGGTTTGTGGGAAGTAACGTTTATGAGAACTGACTAAATTACAGGATGAAAAAGAGTACACAATACACAAAAATAATGAATTTTCCTCAAAAAATGTGAGGTTGTGTTGTTTTAGTTTTACTGTTATAAGCTATGATATTGAAAACTTACAAGAGGTGTACATACTAGCTGTTTCTGCTTGGGACCGTATCTACGAGGTTGGAAAAAAAAGAAGAAAAAGTCTTTGATCAGTACTTGATGACATGATGGCGTAACCATAATTCATACATGATCATGTGAAATGCGTCAAATTTGATCGGAGGTGAGTTCCATTGAAAATGCTTCTGGACCTGCACAACAAGACCAATCAGCTTCTTGTATTACAATATTGGAGAAAAGGGTGAAAATTTCTCTATCTACCTTGACCAAGTTGTTATGCAACGAAACAAACTCTGCGTGTGGTATGTCCTTGAGGATCTGCTTGAGGTTATAGACATCTCGCTCTCTCAGTACAACCGCGAATTTTCTCCAATTCAAGATGTCGTTGAAAGGGAGGTCATAATAGTCTGATAATATGACTGTCCAAAATAACAAGATGTATAAGTTTAGTTTCTTTGGTGGTATAGCGTTCTAATGAGTGAAGAAAGAGCTAAGAATATTTACCAGGAATACATCCGTAATGGATCGAGTCAGTTATGCGAGCACTGTTGACTTGAGAACCGCCGGGGCATATGCAGAATTTAGTCCGGTAGAATCTCTTCTGATACACTAAATGCCCAGTAGCCCTATTGATTCTGTTGTTTGAAATATCGAGCTCTGTATCGTTTTCCCACACACGGGCAAGTATTACCCGTATCTTGGAATTTCTATGACCAGCCCAAAAACCAAGTGTCGTCCTGTAACACCACCGTTTAACAGTATAAGTAACATCAAAGATGTAACTACTAAATCAAGTTCCAAAAGTAGATACAAATCTAATAAGAAAACGAGCCAACAACACAGCTCTAAAATCTTACTTGGATCAAAAACCTCTCGCTAATCACAATATTGGACATTCTAAATTATTTATTTTCCAGAGGAATTTAGTAGCAAAGCATTAAGTAAACTTGAACATCAACAGAGTTTGAGAACCATTAAAGGCCTCTCGCCAATCGCAATATCTGACATTCTAAATGATGGAAATTCCGGAGAAATTTAGCAGCAAAGCAAAGCTATAAACTTGAACATCAACAGAGTTCCTAATCGAAGAGAATGAACTTATGCTCAATGATTGGAACCAT